GAATAGTTTCTCTAGTGTAAGAAACTGAAAGTGTAAATAAGGATTAAAATGATTAAAATGAATAATTGATAATTTGAAATATTAATAGGTCCAAAGGTGTAGGGGTGGTTTGAGAGGAAGGTGAAAGGAAAGAAGCGAAAGGAAAAATTATGAGAAAAGAAAAAAAACATGGACACAAAATCTATGTAAATAGGGAAGGGCGCACAGGTAATGGGGAAAAAATATGGACCAAGATACATCATGTACAGGTACAAGCACCCAGTGATAAATGTAAACGTATTGGTTACCTAAAATGTACCAATAAAAGAATTTAGAAAAAAACAATCACAAATAGATAACATTTATGTTATTTTTATCCTATAAAATTTTTTATTCATTAAGCTTATTGATACATTTTAGGTATCGATTATGATCACATTCATTATCGGGAATTCGTACCTGTACATGGTATATTTGATTCTTGTTTTTTCCCTTTTCCCCCTCTCTCCCTTCCACCCTTCCACCCCTCCCTAGTTACAAAAATAATTTTGTTTCCATTCTTTCCTTCTTTTCTCATAGCTTTTTTCTTTCCCTTCTTTCCTTTCCCCTACCCCCCCCTTCCCCTTTGGACCTTTTCTTCCTATTTCTCTTTTATTTAATCATTCCTTGATTTTCATAAGAATGATATAATATTTTGTAAGAATTATCACAAATTTCCTTCATAGATGATTATCTTTCACAAAGTTAATACCAAGTAGAAAGAAATAAAATCCTTGATTTTGTTAATATTTCTTTTGAGCTATATATGTTTTGTGCTCATTTGACATTCTTGTTATCCGCAACTATAATCCTTCATTTTAACATCTGTGTTCCCACCCTGTCCTAACAAAGTCATTAATGTTCTCTTATATAGGTATAATTCTACATAATTCCATTTCTGCATCTCAGGAATTTTCTTATCACCATATTATTACTTACATTTTATTCTTTGTAGAAGTACACATCATTTTTCCTCCTGGATGCATTTTATTTTTGTCCCATGGCTTTTTTTCTAAAACTCCTAAATCCCTGAATTTTACCAAATTATGTTGATCTTAAAGTGTTTTCATAGATATTCTGACACAAAATATGTGCACATAATTTATTTTTTCAATGGAATAATATTTTGTTTTTCTCCTTTTAAAACATGGTTTCAAACAACATTTTTTATTCAGCTAGCATTTTATCCTTGTAAACAATCTGTTTCTTATTTTTCCATGTTCTCATCTTGATTCCATTATATACATCTGCTATGTGTCTAAATGATTTGCTGCTGCCTATTTCATACTTTTAAACAATTACATGGTAATGTTATAGAAAATAATACCAGAGATGAAATATGAAATATCATATCTCCCACCCTGTTAGCTGTCTGATACGCCGAGCTCTGGTTCTCTAGAAATCGAAGAATGAATTCTAGGAACAGTAGAGGTTAACAGTAGGAAGATATTTATAGATAGGAAAGCTCCTGAGGGCCAGGAGGGGTCCCGAGCGGGTAGCCCGGGGACCCCCCCTTTACAGAGGAGTTTTATAGGGTGAACCCCACGTGGGTACGCCGTGGGCCACAGCTGTGATCACCCAATAAGGTTACAGGTACAGTCACTTAGGTCACAGTGGTCCAATTGGGAAAGAAGTCACGTACCAAGCACGGATGGAAAGAACAAAGATTGTCCTAGGAAGTGCTGGGTCCAGAGGTCTCTGGTCACCCTCCGGGGTGGCTGATGTCTGTCTGGACTTCATTAGGCCCAGTGTTTGTC